AGAAGAAGATAGAGTGGAAGGGAAGCACTAATAAATACTATATAGGAAGCCATCTTTTCCCAGTTTTTAAGGAAGAACAGTTCCCACACGTGAACTACTTGCTACCCGGTCAGATGCTGAAGTTTTAAGTATTTCTCAAGTCCTCCAACATGTGTTAGGTGAGTCCGCTCAGTCCTGCCATCGGGCCCAGGTGAAGTGCACAGGAACCAAAAGGAAGAATATGGATTCTCACAGCCTCCAAACACAGGTTCTCAGCCAGGAAGAACCACCCCTTCTCCCAGCCTCTCCATACAGGGAGGTTTCAGTAGGTATTGTGGGTAGTACCTGCTCCTCTGCTTCTTCCACAATGATTGGCACTTTAATTGCTGTTTGAAAGGAAAGGAAAAGAGATACTAAATGTGCTTACAATGAACAGAACGGTCACACCGGATGAGGAAAATTCCATCTGCGCCATAATGCGAAACATAAATCCCAATGGGTGGGTTTGGAGAGGACCCTCCTATCACTCCCACAGCCCATGACAGAGAGAAGTGCTCAGTGTTTTACCTGGACCCACTTGGAGACCTCCTCTGGCTCCACCAGGCTTCCACCAGGAAAGCCACCATAAGAACCGTAATTAGGGCAGACAGTCCCAGTCGGATGAGGTTACCCGTGGTGTAATCTGTTGATGTGGCACCAGGGGAATCTGAAAGGGAGAAGAGGATCCCCACTGATGTCCCTGCTTCTCAATGGTTCTAGCAGAGGTGACCTTCACGTGCCCCCATGTGTGTCCTGGGCAGTGCTCAGCTGTACTAGGTTATAGTTCTAATCACTGGGAACCAAATGGGGAGTGTTAGGAGAGTTATAGTAGTGCGTCATCTTTTTTATATTTTCTCTGCCTTCCCTCTCTTCCTTCATTTATTTGCTTTCATCTCATTTCCACCTCCCTGCATTTCCTCTTCCCCTCCTCTCTCCTTTTGTTAGGAATTTGTGTGCATGCAACACAGAGAATCAGAGTTGCCTGTCAGCACTGAAATTCAGCAGCTGCATCAGCACCAGTCCTCACAGCACAAAACTTACACCAGCAGCGAGCTCAGTGAACGTAGTAGCTAAGCATCATGACGTCATGTGTTTAGCTGCAGTCACGAATGGCTCAATCTTGTCATTGGTCCTCCTTCCTGAAGAGAAGTCTGCATTTATATCCCCCATCGCACTCATCCCAACTCGTGCAAAGTTCATCTCTAAATCCATCACTGACAATGTTCCCTGAAGGCAGAATCCATGGGGCGAAATGGGCAACGACCCTGCTTCCCAGGAATTGGGGAGCTCTGGGCACCTCTCAGGGCTGGCCATACGGACCTCGATCAATTATAAGACATTCACCGACCACTTTAGAAGATTCAGCAGCAGAAAATGCAGCATACAGAGCTAGCACACAGTGTGCCATAGCAGGAAACAAGGTAACCACAGATTATTCTGCCATAAGTATCAGGAGATTAAAAAACACAACACATTGCATCCGTCACCATCAAGCAGGAGGCTGTGGAACGCCACATTCTGAGAACAAAAGAGAGTCTTGGTAATACTCTCGCTAAAACCTACCAAAATGTTAAGAGATGTAGAGAACGGTAGAAGGAATGGTGGTGATGCAGGACTGATAAAGTTGAAGAACAGCATGAGAAATTAAGAATTCAGAACAAAGAAGGGCAAAGGAGTGGAAATTGGGAGGTGAGAAGCAGAAGATGACAGATCAAATGGGCTATTTATATATTTTTATAAGTTCTCTTTTTAAAACATTTTTATTTCAGAGAAAGAGAGAGAGGGAGAGAGACAGAAACATCAGTGGTGAGAGAGAATCGTTGATTGGCTGCCTCCTATACACCTCCCACTGGGAATTGAGCTCACAGCCTTGGGCTTGTGCCCCTAACTGGAATCGAACCCGGGACCCTTCAATCGCAGGCCGACGCTCTATCCAGTGAGCCAAATCAGCTTAAAAGAGAAAAAAGTTCTCTTTTTTAAAAACATATTTTTTATTGATTTCAGTGTGGAAGAGAGAGGGAGAGAGGGGTAGCAACATCAATGATGAGAGAGAATCATGACTCAGCCAACTCCCGCACACCCCCAATGGGGATTGAGCCCACAACCTAGGCATTTGGCCGGACTGGGAATTGAAGTTCACAAAATCTTGCAGAAACCTTACCTGTCACCAAGATCGTGAGCTCATCACTGGGCCTTGAGGCCCAGAAAGGAGCCCTTGGTTGGTAGTACACACAGCTGTAGGCCCCAGTGTCACTGCCTGTCACACTTGGCAGGGAGAAGTCTGTCTGAATTCCTACTGCACTCTGGAGCTGTATGGGTGTTGAAGTTCCTTTCTTCAGTAGAGCAAACATGTGAGGTTCTATCATATGCCTGTAGCTGGCACTGCAGAATCACGTTTTCTCCTGCAGTCACCTTGCACCCTGGGCGGGCGTGGAGGGAAGGTTTAAGTAGTTCTCCTGTAAGAGAAGGAAGCTCAGAAGTCATGGCAGAAGCCTTGGGTCCCCGCTCAGGCTTGTTGTCCTGGCAGGTTCCCAGGGGGTGTGGGAAGTGACAGACACCTGGCCTCACCCTCTTTCTGCTCTGACTCCAGGAAGGAGATGTCCCTCCTACAAGCCCTGGATGAGGGCAGGGTCCCCAGCTCTGTTCCTGTCCTTCTCCATCTCACCTCCCCATCTACTAGGTCCATGGTCGGCAAACTGCGACTCGAGAGCCACATGCGGCTCTTTGGCCCCTTGAGTGTGGCTCTTCCACAAAATACCACGTGCGGGTGCACACGTACAGTGCAATTGAAACTTCGTGGCCCATGCGCTGAAGTTGGTTTTCGGCCTGGGCGAGACTGTTTTGAAGAAGTGGTGTTGATATTTGGCTCTGTTGACTAATGAGTTTGCCGACCGCTGTGCTAGATGTACCGGTTAATAATGGCAGATTTTGTAATCAAAGAAAACACAATAATTTCAAGAGAAACATCAAAAGTCCTTTATTCAAAGTAATGTCCATCACTAGTTACACATTTCCCCCATCTTTCAGGTAATTTGTGGATACCGTCCCAATAGAACTTTTCTTGTTTTGAGGCAAACCATTCAGAGCTTTTAACGTGTCTTTAACTGTTTTTGAAGTGTGTGATCGTGCGTTATCATGAAGCAAAATTACTTTGCCATGTCTTCTGGCACATTCTGGTCTTTTCGAGATCAAAGCATGGTTCAAATTGATTATTTGTTGTCGGTAGTGATCAGTATTAACGGTTTCACCTGGTTTTAGAAGCTCATAATACACTACACCTTCCTGATCCCACCAAACGCAGAGCATTGTCTTCTTTCCTAAGCAATTTGGCCTTACAGTAGATGTTGATGGTTGACCTGGGTCAACCCATGATTTTGTGCATTTGGGATTCTCACAATAAATCCACTTTTCATCGCCAGTCACAATTCGATGCAAAAAAGACTTTCTTTCATGCCGTTGAAGCAACATTTTACTGATGACTTTTTGGTTTTCCATTTGTCTTTCTTCAGTTGATGTGGCACCCATTTTCCTTCCTTTAAAATCTTTTCCATTGCTTATAAACGATCAGAAATTGTTTGCTGAGCAACGTTTAATCCTTCTGCAAGTTGTTTTTTAGTTTGACACACATCTTCATCCAGTAATGCTTGTAATTGTTGGTCTTCAAACTTTTTCGGTTGACCTGGACGTTCTTTGTCTTTCACATCGAAATCATCACTTTTAAAGCGTTTAGACCAGCGTTCACAAGTATCTTGAGATGGAGCATGTTCACCATAAGCTTCCCGAAGTATATGATAACTTTTTCTTTAAAATAAAGTAATGAATTAAAACTTCCCCGAATGCTCTTTTTTGGGCACGAAATTCGACATTTTTAAGCATAAAAATATCTATGATGTTAACACCTTCAGAAAACTTCACATGAAGTTTTGAAGCTTGTTGGCAATACAACAAAATAGCATACATATCAAATCGCATACATATCAACATATGTGTAACTCCATCTATTGAAGAAATCCGCATTATTAACTGGTACACCTAGTACACTGGAGGTGAGACCCTGCTCCTCTCTCATTCTCTGGATCCCCCCTCATCCCAGTCCTAGGGAGATGGTGTGTCATTCTGAGCACCTCGTCCTCACCTGTCACCAGCAGTAGAAGGACATCACTGGGTGGTGACCTTATGGTGGGGCTCCCTGTCCTGTAATATTCACAGGTGTGCTCTCCAGCGTTCCTGCTGTGTAGGTGAGGGAGGTGAAATTCCGCCAGGCCCTCTGGGGAATCAGCAGATGGCGAGGTCTCCAAAGGAGCATTGTTCTTTTTTTTCCTTTAATTTTATTTTCTTGTTTAAAGTATTACAAATAGTAGTACATATGTCTCCTTTTTATTCCCCATTGACCTTCTCCCGGCCTCCCCTACCCCCCGGCACATGCCCTTACCCCACCCCCCAGTGTCTTGTGTCCATTGGTTGTGCTTATATGCATGCACATAAGTCCTTCGATTGATCTCTTACCGCCCCCCCCCCAA